ACGACAATGTAAAACCAGTAAACCCAAACAGGCTAAACTCATAGAGGAATTGTCAAATCCTGGACTTTTGTTTCTGTCTATATTAAATCCCTCACTACGCGTGCTTCAAATCTAGAAATCAATTCGCACATCCTGGGCTCCTTCTTGTATCCACCTAAACCCTTACTAAAAGTGCTTGAAATTTACAGACACAAGCTCAAATCATCACATCATGGGCTCTGTTTTTGCTTACACACACCCCTTACTAAACCTGCTTCCACGTGCTTCCAATGTAAACCCTCAGACCCTGAGGTCCTGAGTATCTAAATCCTTAAATAGGTTTAGGGTCTAGGGTTCCTTGAATAATGAGTTGGTTTTGAATTTCAAGGAAAAGTCTCTGGTACTGAAGTAATCGAATACTGCTGACTAAGCTGGCTACCTCTCTACAGGAGAATTCTCTGACCCTGGTATCCTCATATCATCTTTATTTCTACTCATACTAAATGTGCATCAAAAATAAATCGGGAATCTCAAGTTTTGGGCTCCTTGTTTTCTTTGCTTCTATGTATCCCTTACAAAATGTTGTTGAGTTTCACAGGAATTCTGAAATCCTCGGCTGCTGTTTTGGTTTATTCACGAATTATGCTCCCAAGTCAAGAAAGGATTTTTTGGATTTTGCGCTCCGGCTTTGATCTAAAAGATCCCTCTACTGGCTTGGCTTCGACATTGAGAAGATCCTTCTTTTCTCTATATAATTCTTCTACTAAGTTGGCTACGAATTTACGGGATGATGTTTTGCTTCTGGTCTCCCTTTTTCTGGATTATAAGGTCCTCACTGAATTTGTTTTATTGCAGAAAGGAAACTCAGGTCATGAGCATCTGATTTCTCTATATGAATTGTGGTTTCACAATAAATGAAGAAGAATTCGCAATTCCTTGGCTCCTGTTTTTTTCACTAATTGTGCCGAAGCTGGCAGGAGTTTGCATAGGTGCTGATATTCTTCATTTTTACTTTCCTTATTAGACAATCTGTAAATCCTGGGCTCCTGTTTTGGGCGATATACATCCCTTACTGGACTTGCTTCAAATTTCAAAAGGAATGCTCAAATCTTGGACTCCTGTTTTTGCTTATATGAATCCCTTGCCAAGTGGAATTGGGACATCCTGATCCCTTATCTAAATCTGGGTTGGCCCCTAAAACCCTTTGAAACGTATTAGTATATAGGGTCCCTTATTGAAGCCATTAGGGAAAATATCAAACATCCCAAGGGCCTACCCAGAAATTCTAGTCAATTGGGAATGATTATGGCCTGTGCTCCTTCTTTTCTCAGGAGATATCTTGACTCCAGCGCCTTCTGTTGCTATCCGTATAGATGGTTTATGGGCTCGAGAAGAATTCTAGCATAGTAGATTATAGTATAGTATAGTATAGTATATTATTGAGGGTAATATTGACATTATCACCTCTAATGCAGAATCAAATGGAAAAGAACATGGAAAATTAAATGGACACTGCGACAAACAATCCGGATTCTTGGATTCCTGTTTTTCGGTCATGAAATTCGTGCTAGAATTCACTTAGTTGGAAGAAGCTCTTACATAGATACGCACGGTTAGGAGTGGGTGGGGGAGTTTAGTTTCAGACAGCCGCTAACGGCAAAATTCGAAACCACAAGCTAAGATCAGCAGATACCCTCGGACCGGGTGCCCGGCTCACGCCTTTCCAGATTTTCAGATTTGAAGGTTTCCCGTTTTCTTGATTTCAAGATCTAGGTTTTTTCTTTCCAGAATTCCAGAATGGAACATTCCTAGACTTCCAGAATTCCAGATATGCAGAATGGAGGTCTTCCGGAATTCCAGCATTCCAGACTTCCAGATCGTGTACATCTGGCAGGTTAGAGCCAGAAACACCTGGAAAACTGGAATTCTGGAAAACTTCTACTATGGAATTGTGGAATTGTGGAATTCTGGAAATCTTGAAAACCAGAAATCTTGGGACCTATATAGGAACGAGTTTTAGGTTTTGCTTTGGACAGCGCTCCGAAAGCATATCCACCCACCCTCTGCCCAGTCACCTACTGATTCTGCGAATCCGTGAATCTGCACAAAACCTAATTGAATCCTCTGTTTTGGGTTTAGTCTTCGAAGACGCTCCGAACTCCATCACCACCCTTCAGCCATCACGACTCTCCCATCTACCGTCAGGCAGAAGAATAAGAAGTAATGCAAGCACAAACCTCAACTGCCGAAGAGGTACCCAAGGCATGCGGTTTTAGGGGCGTACCGTATAGCATGCAACTGCATTCCTTGAACCCCTATCCTACGTTGCACCTATGCCCCCTTTTGAAGGGACCTCCAATTAGCCATACAGACCCTCAAATTGACCTTCTAGCTGAGGCACATCTAAACCCTAAACCCTTAAACTATACCCTTAACTCCAGAACATTCAAGCCTACACCCTTAACCCTGTCAGGCCGAGGCACATCTTGACTGCTTGGTTGCGGCTCGGGGAGCCTGGCAAAGGCACAAATCAAGCAAGATGGATCCCTAAAATAGGTTTCTAGAGAGGTTCTAATGGGATGATATAGAGGCTATTTATTTAGGGAAATAACACCAAATAGTGGCAAAAAGACATGGACAACAACATGGAACATGAAACGGAAACTCTCCCTTTTGAGGCATCTTTCATGAGGTTTTATCACCCCCAGAAAAATCAAGGGTGTGCCATGAACGTAAGGACTGAATCCTGAAACCACTACAAACGGGTTTCCCCACATGAGGATAAGGAACATGGGAAATGAATTGGAACTGTCTTTGTATAGGGATTAGGGACGAAAATGAGGAATCTCGGGGGTACGTATATGGACGTCCATATTGGCGCCCCTCTTTTTTGAAACCTCCGCTTGTAGCCTGTGCGGGGGTCCAATACGCCGTGATTGAGGAATGTACCCCAAATGATACCAGGATCCCTAACATGATTTGAAGCATATTACATAAGGGTAGGGGGCTCTCTGGGTAGCCACACTAGCACTAGAGAAACTGAAAATAGTACTGGCGGATTGCCACAGTCACCTTGAATGCATTGACAGCACCTTCTGGTCCTGTAGGCGTAGCATAGGGTACCAACTCAAATGGCAATTCCACTTGCTCACCAACATCAGTGGTTACAACCTTGAGGCTGTGCCAAATTCACTGTATAAGGGTTCCTGTGAGCACCCCAAGATTGTCACCATCGTCTAGCAATACGTAGCTGTCAAAACGGCTTCTGCGAGAGTTGCCTCACTGGTCCAGAAGCGGTATGGTGACGGTTCATGATTTGCAGCAGAACCTGAGTTCAACATGGGATTCGGATTTAGTGGGTCCGTTTTCAGGGTCCACTGCATGCTGAGTATCAAACCCTACCTGTAGTTTTTGAAGATTCTACATGGATTCTGCCGCAAAGTGAGAAGTTTCTGTTGATCCGCTGCTTCATGCGCTAATGTACACAGCAGCAACCTGCATCTTCGAATCCTGAGCCGCGTGCAGAGTATGGAAACTCGATATGAATGGATGGGAGTCCAAGGCGAATGGTTCCACCGGAAACTCCCAGTACACCTGACTTACAACTTGGTCAGAAATGGCTGCAGCACTGCAGCAGTTGCGGCTCCATCTTTGCAGGATGACGCTTGGAGTAGACTGAGCCATGCTCTCATGCCATATGGTCTTGGGGCTGCCTGTAAATGTCCGTACAGCATGCTCGCAGAGTCTCAGTTAAAAACCGGGGTGCAGGCAGGCGGAATGGGGGGGCAGCGTACGTGCCGCGTGGTCTCAGCACTCGTTGAACCTGCAGATCTTTCAGGGCCCCACAACCTCCACCCTGCTCACCGTGCCACCAAAGGCAGCTGCACCAGACCCACCGTGCAGAGTGCTCTCAACCTTTTTTCTGGTCGACATCTCTCCATCATCTGCTTTGCCTCCAGCAGGTACTTGTTGATCACGCTTGAGGCATTATCACCTCAGTTGGCAGACCAACCGGCCACCAAGCGGCCACACAAAAAGCCACGTCCGCTTGCACTTGCATGCAAACGGCTATTCCATCAGTGCTTGCTGGGGCACCGCAAGCGAAGGTGTCAAGGACGCTTTTGTCGATAACAGTGTCAAAGCTGCTTTCTATCAGCCCTGCAGGCACAAGTTCAAGGCCAGCTTTGTGAAGCTACAGGGATTATATCTGGATAATGGAAAGAAAACGGAAACTACTATGTTATAATAGGGTAAATATTGGGGTTCTATAGGGATAATGGAAAAAATGGAAACTACTATAGTATATAGGGGTTATATTGGGATATGCCGGGCAGAACGGTTTACAACCTTCCATGAAATCTCTCAGGCTGAGATACCCATCTCGGTGGCATCCATCTCGAACCTGAGTCCAAACGATGCGTTGAGGCAACGGACTGTCAGTCTGCAACAGCTTACCTTTGGTTAGTTGGGAATGAAGGAATGGAAAAGACAATGGAAACTACTGTACTGGGTTATATGTACCATTGTCTAAACTCCTAGTACCCCCCTTAATAACCCCTATAGTTGTCCCCTGTATAGTCGCCTATATAGCCCCCTTTAAGGAGTTTAAACGGTAGCTCATACAGGGACTACTATAGGGATCCATTCCGTCATTACTAGCTAATCAAAGGTAAGACAACTCCTCTTGGAGGAGGCCTCAGTTCTGGGCCACTTGAGCTCTGGGCGCAGGGTCCTATTCCTTCGGCACCAACTTACTTGTGCTTAAGGGAGAGTGGGGGAGTGGATCCTTGTAATAATCCCTATTAAGCCCTAAACCTTAAACCCTAAACCCTGACCCCTCCCCATATATACCCCTATAATGGTACCTATATTCACTGCCCCACTCCCCCTTGAGCACCAGGAGGCCAAAGGCCACAGATCCAACAGATTTGATAGCAACATTTCGTAGATCTGCGTGTCCTCTCCGCCATCTGCTGAATGCAAACCTGGCCCAGCCCACAGGGTTGCACAGCCCAAAGTACAGTACAGTATAGGACTAGTGTAGTATAATGTAGTATAGTAATGTTGTGGTAATAATCGCGTTGTACTATCGTGTATTATAGCACTGGTATAGTAATTTTGAAGCATATATTAGCAACATTTGCGAAATCTTGCGAATGCCTCTGCGATGTCGACGTTCGTTACATCCTTGTACCCATGGTCGTACCTGCATTGCCATCAGAATTTCTCGAGTTTTTGTGGAAGGGAGTTTGACAGGACTCCTTGCTTGCCCAAACCTTCCACACGGCGGTATGTGCTAAAAGGAAGCTTTATTAGGGATTTCCAACTGCAACTTGCCCCCACTTGCTCTGGGAATCTCACATTGCTTCGGGTAGCAAAGAGCTCCCGCAGCCAACGTGCAGCACAGTTGCATCCGTTCTGCCTGCCGTGGCCTGCTCATGCCCGCAATGGAGCGAAGTGGTCAGAATCAATCGCAATCAAACCACAAGACTTGTGCTAACGCAGATTGCAGTACCAGAAAGCCTTCTAAGATGTGCAAAGCCCTGTGCCTCCTTAATGAGGCTCTCGAGCTCCGTGAAGCTTTCCAACCACTCAAAGGGATTGGGATCGCCCCTGTACCTTGCCAGATTCATTCTTCCGCAGCTCCTGTTGCCACGGGAAGTAGCAGGCTTGTGATGTCCAGGCCTCTTGTTCCAGTATTCTACGCCGTCACCATACCCAGGGGCCTCACACATTTGCAATTTTGCATGGTTGCGATTAGGACTAGCATCCTGGACAGCCAGCACCCTAGGAGGTGAACGATACTTCGAGTATGTTACAACTCCCCACGTTTTTGAAACCAAGGCTTACTAGCTGCAGAGGTAGTGGAGCTATTTTGAAATGCATTTTGATGTCTTGCTCCATGTACAGCCAACCTTGAAGACCGAACAGTCTGAATGGACCCGGGCGAACCTATGTCCAAAGACCTGCGGTCTCTCTCTCTCTCTCTCTC